AAGCTGGAGGCTGAAGCAACCAAGCAGAAGCAATTAGAACCAGCAGCAGAGAGGCACGGATCTTGGAAACGGTGGAAACACCTACCATTCAAAAGAGACAGGCCCCTAGCCCCTTAGAGTCAGATAAAAACTTTGCAAGGGACAACAGAATCTGTGGCAAAAAGTCACCAGAAAAGGGGCTTCGCAACAAAGAGCGGATAAAACTACTTCGGCACCCGTAGAGAAGCCGAAAGTAGCAGCGAAACCAATAAGAAAAGAGAAAAAAAATCTCGCTCAAAGCTACGTAGATGTTTTAAAAAACATACGCAGCAAAATCCAACAGGACGAAAAGACAAATGTGAGAGGCATAAGGAAATCCGATCTGGGGCACTCCTTGTAGAGCTGAGCAAAGAGGAAAAGTTACAACCGGAGCTGGTTGAAAAACGGTAGCCGAGTTAAAGCCTACAGCAACAGTGGAGATCCGAGATCTCGACTCACTAACTGTTGAGTCTGAGGTGGCTGAGGCAGTGCGACAAGTTCTTGATAATGCATAAGAGGACTTATGCATAAAAGTCACTGCCCTGAACAGTCGAGAGCAAGTAAGGGCCTTTGTAACTTTAGAAAGCCAATTAGCGGCGATGTTGCTAAGCTCAAACATCAAAATAGGGTTTTTTCAGGATTAGGCCCAGAATGTGTCAACCCATCCGCAGGTGCTACCGATGCTTTGGGGTCGGTCACCTGCAGACCAACTGCACAGGACCAGACCGAAGTACCGGTGGCATCTGCATTAAATGCGGTGAAGCAGGCCACAAGATGAAAAACTGCAAAAAACCAATAAAATGCTGCATTTGCGTTGATGCAGGGCGTACTTCTGTTGATCATATACCGGGATCGCAGAAATGCCCAAGCACACGACAAACTACAGCWAAATGTTGAAAATTCTCCAAGGTAATCTATCCCGGAGCAAAACTGCATATGCACTTTTGACACAGGTCGTAGCGGAACTTGCTATAGATGTAGTGATCATCAATGAACAATATAAGCGAAAAGGAGTCTGGTTAGAGGACGACACCAAGACTGCTGCCATATGGATACCCAGTAGCAACCGACAGCTGCTACTAGAAAGCTAGCTAGGAAACTGCTACGTCTACACACACTTCAGTTGCTACCTAACCCCTAGCGACGACATAAACACCTTCCAAAATAAATTGGACGAAATTGAGGATCTGCTCGTGGATCGACGGCAGCCCTTCATTGTGGCAGGCGATCTGAATGCACGAGCAGTAGATTGGGGAATGCCATCGACTAACTCTAGAGGACGGAAAATTATGAATATGGTCGCTAGGTCCGGGTTAGTGATAGTAAATAGCAGAGAATTGTGATAGTAATAGCAGAGTTACCTTCCATAGGCCAGGATGTGAAGACAGAATACGTGACGGAACCTATGGATCGGAGCACATTGTAGATCTGATAATGGACTGGAATATACTCGATGACCAGAACACCAATCGGCAGAACTTCCCATCGTGTCCAAGAAAGACTTCCCACAGATGGGATGTAAGTAAGGTGGATAAGGACAAATTACTAGCTGAATTAGATAGACAAGTAAGACAGTTCGACGCATGAGCGAGCACCTGTATTATTATATTACAGATACTCGTTAATAAATAAATTTGCCTATCTCGAAATTTTGTGGTCCCAGCTGTAAAATTAAGAAGGATATAAATTTTGAATGAGTGTTAATATATATTTATATTTATTTAAAATTCCAGAGAGTGTTATCAAGGTCAAACCGATTTACTCAAGGTGCAGCTAACATATTTAAGTATGCTCATATATATTAAATTAAATTAATTTAAATGAGCTTGCTTCTAAATTCCCGTATTAAAATGATTTTTGGTTACACTAAATATGGTTATTTATAGGTTCAAGAGGGACTTTCATGTGTCAAGCTTATCTTACGTTGGTCTATTTTAGAGACCACTTCACAATTGGGTCAGTTTTGCCATTGCCACGACATTAAGAGCTTCATTAAAAACTTTGGCATAATTCATTAGTGTCCCAGAGGCACGTGAACTTGAGGCCGTTGGCAAAGTCAAGTGCTGCTGCCTAGGTGACTAATTTCATTCACAGCCAACCAAATATCGCACGACAATAAAGATAATAACCCAATGTGGTGGCAGCAAAAAAAGCCGTAAGAAACAGAAGAGGCTAATGGCTGACGGAATAGTCGACTGCGAAATACCCTATAAACACTTATAGTTATTTCATATATTATTATACAGTATATTTAATTGATTGTTTATTGTGTATCAATTATAATATTTAAATATGCAAAATTTGTCCTAATTTAATTAATTCATTTTCAATTTAAATTTTGAATTTCGAATATTTATATATTATTATTTGCTCTATCATTAATCTTCTATACACATTGTTTTGACTGTTTCCAGGGTATGTAAATAGCGAACGTGAGCTCTACACCCGAAAAGAGGCGCCAACTTGCAAGGCGTTGATAGCGGACGTTGTCATTATGAATTGTTGCCTACTTATCGGCGCATGCGTCAGCTAGAATTGTTACGGACTCTGGGGCCGTGAGGCATATGCAACATGCTGAACCTTGTAGCTTATTGTTGATGGTTGTCCGCTGTTTGAGCAGCAATAGCAACAGCAACAGCAACAGCAACAGCAACAGCAACAGCAAAGCAGTAGCAGCAGCTGACGACGATTTCGAATTTCGAATATACTCGATTTCGAATGTTCGAAGACTGTTATCACCAAACAGGGTACCTTGCCTATGTGTGTGTGATGCTTTGAGTAACAGCAACAGCAGCAGCTGACGGCGATTTCGAGTTTCGAAACTTTTTTTGAATTTCGAAAACTGTTATCAACCAACAAGCGATATGTGTGGCTGTTTGTGTGTGTGTCCCACCTACAGCTACTGTTGTAAGCCAATGAACGTGTATCGCAATGGCAGCTGTACGTGTGAGCGTGCTTGCGGCTTTGCATGTGGCTGCCTGCGTGTGTGTGTGTGTGTGGAAATGCTGCTTCAGCCACAGCTTTTGCCAGATAAAAACCCATCAGTTGGCGGCTGTTGCACGTCGCGTGCGGTTCCTTTTTGCTCCTGGACTGCTGCTGTCTGCTTCTTCTTCATAGTTCTGTATGAGTTGCGTGCCGCTTCGTATTCAAAGTGCGTTTCGCTGTCTCATTTACTTTTTGAATAAGTCTACAAAAGAAATAAATAAAACGAACTACTCCATGCACCAGCTGTGGTCTAGGCAAGTGGCCAAGTTGTCATTTGCCAGTCGCAGTTCGCGGCGTAAGGTCATCCTCGCGCATTCTCCAACTCTTGGTAAAAGTGCTCTTGGTAAAAGTGATGTGACTTTAAATTAACTATAAAATAACTAAATGAAATAAGTTAACTTTTACTTTAAAACAATAAATAATTTTTTCATAATAATTAAAAATTTATCAATATATTTTAATTAATAATTAAGGTTTAAATTCAATAAACAATTAATGTAATAATACAAATAAAATAACTTTAAATGTGCTTTGAGAAAAAAGATCAAATATTTAGTATATTCAATGATGAAAATTACAATAAATTGCAGACTCCAAAATTCCGAGTACTTAATTAATTAAAATTCATGAATTTTCAAAATGTTATAAAACAGAACATTTAAATACCATTGATAGTATATAGAGAAAGTCACAAGATTATCAGAAATAACCTGAGAAATGAGAAAAACAAACAAATTAATGCATTTGATGTTTTGAAGCAATTTAATTTATTTAATACTTTTGTATACCTTTTCGAATGGATACTAAAAATACTTAAAGTTTAGCTTTATTAGAGAACTCATTAGAGTTGACCCCATAAAATTATTAAATATGATTTGTACTCCGTTTGGTAAATTCCATTTACCAAACTATTTTTCATTTTTAAATGATTAAACTGTGTCCCACACTTCTATTTAGATTACGGGGGTCAACTTAATTTTCATTTTAGTTATTCTATTTGACCTCGGGGTTCCGCATGATTATGCAATGAAGCTTAAGGGTTAGAGACATCAAAAACCACAATTATAATGCGATTGCCAGGCTCATAAAAATAACCAAAATAATTAAAATAACAAGTAAATACCTCAGCAGCCGATTCGGTTGGCTCATTTAAATTCATTACGAATTTTGGTAGCAGGTCCCCAGGATCTGAGCGCTGCCTACGAGGGGTGAACAGCATCAATTTTTCAGGCAATTTAATTGAAGAGCGCTCCAGAATTTTTGATTTAAGCTGCGTGGCAGCAGCAGTAGCAACAGCAGCGTCGTCATTAAACAGCAAATAAAAACGAGAATTTCTTTATATGGGTTGTGGAAACGTCGTTGGCTGAGATTTTGGTTTTAATTTTTTTCTTGTTCTTTATTCTTTTTCATTTTTATACAATTGTATCTCTGCGCTGAATAATTTGGGCATCGCCACGCCCACAAAAATTACAACGAAAAACACGTGCAAATTGCAAATAAAAGAAATGAATCAAAAGCAAAGCCAAAACGAAACGAAATACAATCAAATGAAATAAAATTGTATTTGCTTCGAAGCGTCGCTTTAATACATTTAGTAAACGAGCTCTTCACATACATACGTACATACCTACATATTGTTTATGACCATATCCTCCAATTGAACAGCGCCAAATCTGCTTTTCGTAATGGAAATCAAAGTACATAAAAATCAAATTAAGTGCCATAAATAAAACCATATAAACATAAATACAATTATATGCATCCTCGCGTGATCCGCGCGCGTTGCTCTCGCTCTCTGCGCTTTTAATTCTGCTCTACAAGCGTGCCGCATATTAAGTATTCAAAGTCCTTAAAACAGCAGCACCGTCATTTATAGTTGAGTGAACACTGTGTTTACCCGGACATCACATCAGCTGCTTGGTGAGTATTTGCGAGACATTTTGGGTGCTTTCCTTTATTTCGGATCTTTATTGCAAAAACCTAAATGAATTTTTTCTGCACACTGAGAGAAATAACGGTATCTATTAAAGTTTTAAGAGAGAGAATAAAATAATAGATTTAAGAGAGCAAAGGATTGCATTGATCTGCTACGTTATCAGTACAATCCTTTTCTGTCTCTTATAATTAACTACATGGCAGATTATCATTCTTTAGCTGGACAAAAGTATTTTGACATCTCAATTAATTATCATATTCCTCGTATCCCGTCTCCTGTTCGGAAAGTGTTTAGATGTTTATTTTTTCAAGTCATCTTTTAGTAAATAAATAACTGATAAATTAGACATACTGAGCGTAACAGCGTGACTTGACAAATTCCATGAAAATAGGAAAAGTTTATTTCAATGTGAGTTATTTAGTTCAAAAGATTTTATTTAAATTGTATCTTAACTATATTTGAACTTCATCTCTTGACGACATTCCAGTTAAGTCTCGAGGTCCCTTTAATTATTTATCGATAATGTTATAAATACATGTCGATAGCTAACTCTGAGCATAGGGGATATTCCTATCTACTACTACATAAGTTAATTGAATCGAGACTGCAGAACGGTCTATATTTCATTTTTTTTATTCAATGCGGTTTGAATTGAGTTTTTAAAATGTAAACAATCTGTATCTAAAGTTTTATTTTATTAATATTTAAAATAAGCATTTAAATATCAATAAATATTGTAATGCTCTCTGTCACCTCTCCTGAGTTTTATGGGGCTGGCTTCTCTGATATGTGTATACATATTGTTTAGGTATGGAAGGGCAGGGTTCCTTCAACGCCACCTGATGTAGCTACATAATACATTTGCATATATAAACAGGTCAAGCATTCCCTCAGATGTTTGCTATAAAAACGACAAAATTATTTACGGAACGACAACCACATTTCTCAGATCGCAAATATTGTTAATTTGTCTGCTGCAAATTTGCTAAATACACATATCAGATATATTCAGATATAAATAATATGATTATTTACTCATATAGATACGTTTCATTTCTTATTATTTTTGTATGTATCTAAAACTGAAATATTTAACCTCAGAAATAACGAGAACAATCTTCTTTATGAAATCTCCATATAATTATTTTCTTATATGGGACACTTTATTTTTTTAATCAATTTATGGTATACAAAAGTGTTGTGTTTTACATTTTTTTAAATTTAAGAGTACAGGACATATTATCCTTTTCTACTTAAACATAATATTTTATACCATGGAAATTGATTTCTTAGAGTTTAACATAAGCACGGTAGGAAAACTTATATAAATCCCTAAACATGGGGAACCTAAAAATCTATTTATAAAGTTAGAAGGCAGCTTATCTATTCTAGTTGATGCTAGTTCTACCTTTGGTTTAATAAGTATGTAACTCCGGAGGGGAGTCATATTTCTATATACAAACTATATTTTGTAGGGTTTTCGAAAATATATCGATATTATTTTGCTTAAAAGTTATATTTATATCGGGATATTTTGTGCGATTTTTTCAATCAATCTGTGATAAGTAAACCAAGCGCAAAATTAAAAAAGATATAATATGGTGAAAACGAATAATAAATGGAACAGCCAAATATAATATGTGGCTTAAATTAATAAAAACATGTGGTAACAATTAAATATGGTGTCGCATATGAAAAACAAGCACTATGATGCTTACACTGTGCAGTACACTGTGCGGAAACAAAGGAGCTTGTGATGTACCGCAGCTTGCCGCAAACATCTAGGGAAAGCAAACTAATCATTTTTTGGATTTCTCATAAGGCCTGGTAGCTCAGTGCCTTCGGAGCGACTTGCTTCGGCATTAAAATGTGTTGTCAGCGACAAACGAAGTCGAATGACGGATATTCATAACACATCGCGCGTTTTTTTTTAATCTTTGAGCTCCGAATACTGGAGTAAAGCGGTTTTTATCATTTTAACAAATAATACTAATTCTTAAAAAAATCGAAAAACATTGATATATCAATATTTTAAAAATTTTCAATAAAAAAAAAATTCGACAGTCCTTATATTTTGTATATCAATCAGAATTTATTTTCAAGCCATATTTAATATGATTCAATTTTATTTTCTAGTCAACGAAATAGGCTTTGCTTGTTTTGCACCTTAGCATATACATTTATTATTCACAGATCCTCTTTGGTTGGCAGCCCAATTTTATATTACTGTTGAATTCCGTGATAAGCTTTCATATATTTATATATATAAATGTATACAAAATTCAGCATGGCCTGCCGGAAGAAGCCTTTCGTCCTTTGTTTCACCCACTTACATTCCTCCAAAGGCCGTAGAAAAAAAAGGAAGGAAAACCGTATGAAACTTTCAACGCATTTTTTATTATTTGTTTCTCGTTTTCTATTTTTTGTGCTTTGCTTTTGATTTTATTATATGTATCCCTTTTTTGTTGGCGTTATTTGTTTTGTTTTGCTTTGCTTTGTTGCTGCGGCTTTTTCGGAATTCCAATGCCTCAACGCCTTCAGCGGTAGAGACAATAAAACTGAAAGGACATCGCAGATCCTCATTTGCATAACTCGCCCGATGCAAAGCCACGCGAACAAATTGTGCAAACTGTCGAAATCATTCTGTGAATCGCACTTTAAACACCAAAAGTCTGTGTGGCAAGCGTGCCTGTTGAGCACGGCAAAAACCGCTGTCTGATTGCGGCCTTTATGCGTTTTTCATTTTGATTTTATGCTGCATTCTTTTATGCTCGGTGCATAAAACTATTTATGAAATGCCACACACTTATTGCCAATGCTCTGGGTCGCTTTTATGGCTGATAGATGGCCCGGCTTTAAGCTGTCCAAGATTTTGTTTTATGCGTAGAGCCATGTAAAACTTCGTCCAGGGGCCTCATAAAAGTTAAAGTGGTTTATTTAGGAGCAAATGCGAGACAAAAAAAAAAAAATAAATAAATAAAATTCAATCTGCCAACGGCACCCGTGACGTTCAATATTAATCAATGGACCCGCAGATAAATCACAGTTCTGCTCATTGCGCAGCTAACGACTCGATTGTTGGCTGCAAAAAAAAAATGTCGAGCTCTTAAGAAGAGACAGCGCTGTGGCTGTATTTGTTTTCAAATATTTCAGTTGAATGTTATTTAATGGGACTATTGCAGGTGCTTCAGTATTTAGTGGAGATAATATGTAGCTTCTTCAAGCATATTTTATTGTATACTTACCCAAAGAGACAACGCTGCGTATACGCAATGTGCTTACCAATATATAGTCCTGACAGATGTGCGAACACCAGGCTTTTCAGTAAGCATCTGACTTAAAGCTAATTATATTTTCTTTAATCTTTAATCTTTAATTGAAGTCATCAATATCATTTCAAATATTGATGACATGTGGTCAATTAAAAGAAAATTTCGAATAGACTATATATACATACATATGTACATAAATAGATAAATAGTAAATCGACCATTTCATTTCTATTATCAAAATAGGCTTAAAACGAATATTCATATTCTTTATTATTATCGTTAAGATTCAAATTATAATTAGAAAATAAGAAATAAATTTATTGCAAAATTTTAGTTTTCAGTTAAGGACATCGAGTTTCATTTTATGTATCAATCACAAAGCAGATGAAATTACTGAGAATAAGAGCACTCGAAGAATATCATTGTAAGCAGGTAAAAGCCTTATATTACAAGTTTTTTATATGCAAGTTTTTTCTGTGGCCAGACTTGATTCCATAATCATGTTTATCTGCATTTCAAATAATGCTGACACTTTTCTAACCAATTTCGCCGTCTGTTGACGGCCTACACAGTTGAATGTGTCAAAGGTAAAATTGGAAAATTGTGCGAAAAGTGAAAACAAAATTTTCAATGAGAAAATACCAGTAGGCATTTTATCAAGCGGCAGCAGCAAAAGACAAACACTTGCCACCTGTTGCCAACGCAAGGTGAGGTCGAAGGGCCATGTCAGGTGCTTAACGGCTCGTCGAACTATAAAGTGCCAACACACACACACACTCACACTCACACACACACACACACACTCACAGTCACAGGCAAAAAAGGGGAACTCTCATGAACTACTAAAGTTGATAAACACAAAAACGGAAAAGAAACGAGTGCTTGGGCTCAATCGACTACATAACTCTTGCCCATGATACATGCATAGTTAGCTGTGTTTATTAAAGACCGCATAATGAACAAATAAAATAATTCATAGGCAATCAAATCAAATCTGTTGAGGAGCCAATAGTGAGTCAATCAAATAATCAATGAAATTAATCAATCAAATCAAATAATTTAGACGTTTATCCGTAGAGGAGGTCAATAGTGAAGCACTTGATTGATTTTGTGAGTCTCCCAGACATTGTAGAGCCCAATATGCCGCATTGACTTTGTGAACGGGTATAGTAATTTGATGGAGTCAGCTTGAAAATTGAATTCCTTACAGAAGCTTTTCCATGCGATTTTCAAGCGATTGTGTATGTGTGTGTGCGAGTGGCTGTTAAATTTAATGTTGCCTACAAGCAATTTGCATGCATATGGCCGAGTCCTTATCATTATAAACTACAGAAGGGGTAAAAAAGAGGTCTGTACGCCGTTTCAACAGGTCCTGCCACGGTCCTAACGAGAATGGTCCTACGTGCTCGGGTGCTCGCCGAGAGAGGCAGCATCGTAATTTGTATACCTAATGCTGCGGTCGGAACCTGTTTCATATTACCTTATGAGGCACTTACAGGAATATAAAAATAAAAAAAAAACTGAACCAAATATACAATTTTATGTGGAGTTTTGTTTATTTTTAGACAACAATTATATTGATAAGGTTAGTACGATAATTGGCTCTGACTGCAGCCGTGACCCCCATGATAAGCCATCGAAACAGCAACCAATACAACTTTTTGTCCATCTGTTTCAGTCAACCTCCCCATCTCCCGCTCTGCCCGCATGCCGTTGCATTAATTGTGTCCAATTATCTAGTTGCCGGATACACACGCTCCAACAGGGCCAACTGGCTTAGCGGTATCATATACGCAATGGATATAAGAATTCAAAGATACGCAATTATTATGTTTTATTAATTAAATTTTTTATGTAAATAGTATTATGAGAATTATTTTGAATACCTGTTTATTCTTTATGATGATTATTATATTATTTATGATGATTAAAAAGATGTTTACACTACTCAAATTTTTATACTTAACCAACCAGGCACTCTTAAGCGCACATGAGGTATATGAGAGTCGTGTATATCTTTAAAAAAAGTACTTCAGCTATTTCGTTTTGTGTTTGCATTCCACTTGCCATCTATTTGGTTTGTCGTTCGCCTCGTCGCTCGCTTTGTTTTGGTTGCCTCTTCGTCGTTGCGCCGTTTATTAAGTTAATCACTCGCTGTTGCCGTTGTTGTTGCTGTTGCTGTTGCTGTTGATGTTGCTGGCTTTGCTGTATCTGCTGATAAGCAATATTACACTGCGCTGTGATTATCATCAATTATTGACAGTTGATTAAAGTTTCGCTTTGGTGCGCTTTGTCTGTCTGCGGGGGAATATTGTACCAAGGCAGGAACAGCACGTCCTGCTGGTAATTGAGTAAGCGTTCCGTTTGGCATAGAACGAGGGTGATTCTACGGCCTTACAACAAAGTTGGTCCATACCTAAATGGGAGTTTAAACTAAAGCGAGCACATCGAATGGCATTGGTTAACGTCTTTTACTTTTAGGAAGCACTTTAGCCATCTAGAGGGAAGCACGATGGGTTAAATATATTTTGTGGGATTACAGAAAATGTCTCTCAATTCACTAGTCTCGATTTATCCAAATCAATAATATGTTTTGTCTTGAAATATAAGAAAATTAAATTTTCTGCTATAAAAATTCAAGGTCTTTAAATGAAAAGTTTATTTATATCACTCACTATTTTTAACTGTGTACTGAGGCATAGCTGACTAGGCGGGTAAATAAAACGATTCCATGATGTGGAGATACATTTTCTCTACAGTGGGGTTCATTTAACCTTAACTGTTTATAGAAGTAAATGCCCAATTGACTGTTGAAAGCAGGAATCGAATGAAAAGCACCTGAGTGGCACAAGGAGTTTCAATATTGAATGTTCAAATATTTCAATCTTTAAAACAACTGGAAAGTTTTATGATCCCAATAAGCAATAAGTACAATAACAAGTAATAACAATTGCACATAACGTTTCTCAGATATACTAATAATAATATTATGTATAATATTAAGTCAGTAGTCTTATTTTTAAATATTCATACATATATATGAGTAATAATTAAAAATAATTTTTTTAAATAACTCAAAAAATTATTATATATTGTCACGGTTCCTGTAATAATACATTTTTTTGTAAATTCATTTCATATGCTGAAGTTGGTGCACTCCAATTGACTTGTTTAAAATGTATGTTAATGAAGATTTTATTTACACATTTTCTGTCTCTCTCTCTCTTTCTCTCCCTCACTCTCTTCACATAACAAATCTAAATTGATAAACCAAACTTGCTTACCAACTGTTCTACTACTAAGAACTTAATAATGCAAGTCTCATACACACCCACACACACGCACGCTTATGAGCATTGAGGCCTCCGCAGAGTTTGGAGCTCGAGCTTTAACTTTCGTCTGTCTGTGTGTGTGCTGGTTTGTGGGTGTGTGAGTTGATGTGTTTGTCTCCTGGATTGTGTGGGCCAATCAGAAACTTTAACTCACGTGCCTCTAATGATGCCCCGATGCGTGGCATTCGTCAGATGCTCATCCACTCGATGATTCGCCCGCAGCGCGTGAATTGACGATAAGTTATGCATTTATGTGAATGCGGATCAAACTGAATTAATTATTCAAATGAGTTCGCATAAACCAGAGGCATAATTTGCAGCTGCCGCGCACTTCGGGACTTGTAATTGTGGGGCAGCAGAGAGCAGACTGTGCCCACAAGTCGACCTAATAATAGATTAAAATCGGAATTTCAATGAGAGCACGCAGATATTTAATGCTCGTGAATTGGGCCAGCTAAATGTTATTGCAAATGTGGCTAAAATTGTTGCTGTTGCTCAGCCAGATGCCCACAGTCGAGAGGGCTGCCCATGCAATACCAGTCAAGTCGGACAGCCTGCTGGCTGGCCATCTAATTTGCATTTTTATTCCCTTATTCCGTTGTAAATGGAATTTGAAGGTATATTGTTTTTTTCTTTTGTTTTCATTATAGAGCAAAGGTCGTGTCTAGGCTGTGCATATCTACATATAGACGAAAACTCAGGGGAAAGCCTAGTCGAGTACTCCCGACAAGAGCACTCAAGCTTGTTATGTCTGTGAGCGATGCCTCTAGCCTCCATCCCACTCACTGTCACTGACAATGAGCGTGGTTAGGCCGTGTTCTGAAGCATAAGCGAAATTTAATGCTTACCAACATCCGAGTCTTCGGCCTATCGACTGATTCACTCTCTGCCCGCCAGTGCTTCAGCCCTTCAGCCCTTCAGGCCATCAACGTTTCTGCTTGGTAGCTGTGTGATAAAAGTCTGAATTATTAAATAAACATAAATCAGACTACTACACATGTACACAGTACACATATACACGCAAGCATTGTAATCAGATGGACAAAGAGGAGGCCTGCCCTGAGACCCATCCTGCGCAGCAATCGTCAGCTTGCGAGGGCTGCTCAAAACGTGCGAAATATCATATTTGACAAACTGTAATAAATCCTAATCGGAGTTAATATTATTAATTCAAGTAATTTCTGCTTTTAATTTGATTATTTTTAAAAATAGACTTCATAAATGCGAATAATTTATATGTATATACACATATATCAAATATTTAACTTTCTTTCATTTCATAATTGATACTTCTAAAGATAAAAGGGGAACAAAATTTCTCCCTTTATTTAAAATAGTCTATTGAGTTGATCTCGGACTTTGATTTAAGTCCTTTGATTTAAGTCCTTTAGCAAACGCCGTTGGCCTTCATCAGGTCCATATCATTAAAATTGCATAGCCTTGGCCTTTAAGCATTCTTTACATGCTATTTGAGTGTGTGAGAATGTGTGGATGCCAGGCGGATGGCGCCTCGTGTCAGTGTGTATGTGTGTGTGTGTGTGTGTATGGGTGTTTTAGTTAACCAAGTCTATTGGCTATCCCCAACCCCTATCGATATCATATTTCACATGTTTACGCATTCAAGTTCCCCCATTTGCATAATCAGCCTTCACATAATTAAAAGGCTACTGAGGAGAATAAGTAGCTTTCACTTGGACTTCAGCGTCATGTTCGACGTTGCCAAGGTGCTAAGGACAAACTTTCTACACGCTATGCTAACATTTTCAGCTTGTTGCCACGTTGTGCTTTCTCGTCTTAGCCATTTCCTTTCGACGTTTATTACTCTGGCCCACTCAGCACACCTGTTACTCGTTTCTATCCTTGTTCACAGCAATGTCAATCACTGGCACGAAAATGAAATTGCCAAGGCAGTTCGCCTAATCGAAAACGGATATGATGGCGCCGAAATCCGTGCGTATGAGTTGAGCTTCACTCTGCCAAGGATCTGCACGTAAAAGTATCTGATATTATAACGGAATTGTGCGCCATTTTTCAAAGGGATTAGATGGCATATGCTTGTGCAAAAAACTTGTTGATTCAAGAAATCGGTAAATTTGTATCGCGTCTTTGAACACTAATTGAAATGCTGCTTAACGTGCACTCAGTCTAGCTTAGCTGTTTAATTGGACTTTCAAACTTGACTCTCTTCTAAGACATTCGCTGTGTAAACTTAGTGAAGTTTTGCCTTTAACTGACAGCCTAAACAAGTGACTAAATGGAAATGAGTTAGGATAAACTTTTGTGCGGGAAGAAGCTAAAAGGCTTCTTCCTCTTCTCGTGAATAGCTATTAAAAGTTACTTCACAACAATGTAAACAATTTGAAAAGCTGAACAACCATTTTATATAAAATTCAATTTCAAGGTTAAAAACGACACATTACGCATACGCAGTGTTATATAAAATTGCGTATACGCTGCGTGTCGCACAGTATTTAAACCAATGTCGTTGCTTTGAGTCTTGGCGAATATTCAACAGCCTAGCTGTGTCTGTCTGCTAGTCGATCTGTCTGTCTGTATGCCTCTTTAACAGCTGCCCAACTGCGAAACCCATTAAAGGTCTCACGTGTCTGTTCGCCTTTTATTGCCTATGTATGTATGTGCATATGTGTGTGTGTGTGTGTGTGCGTGTGTGTGAATGTGGGAAAAAGTCTTTTCTGCTCGACTTTTTGCCACGTTTAACGCTCATTAATTTGCAGCGTGTATGTTTTTAATGAAGATGCCTACCCGCGCTCACACTCACACACACACGCAAATATTCGAGTAGAGTAGCCCATAATTAATGCTAAGCCAAAAAGTTAATCCAGCGCTTGTTAAATTTATCATCAGCATTGACAACAGCAGTCTTTAAAAAGCACCCTAAATTCTTAAGCTAATTAGCTGTTTTATTTCAATTATGATTAATTACTACGTAAAGAAATTTTGCTTTAAATTTCAAGGCATTCTTTGTTGAATCCCTTATCGCCTTCTTTTATTTTTGTCTTAATATAAATCCCGCCCACGCCAATGATAATAAACGCAAATGCCGCGTAAGCTTGCCCCACAATAACACAAAATGTGCATCAAGACTCTTTAAGTGCGTTGGCTTGATTTAAATTCTTTATTTATTTACTTTGGCTCTTTAACGAAATAAAATCTTTAAGTTGTGGCTACGCACTCATATTGACACACACATACACATACAGAGATACACTAATGCAAACTAATCGCCGTTGACAGTAAAATGAACGAATGAAACACAAGGCGCAAAGGCAACTGCGAACTGGACACAGCACATTTAGCAATATTCCAGTGCAGCATAGAAAGTCATAAAAGGGACCGCCTCATATGATACACACACACGCGCACACATACAGACAAGGAATCCATTTAATAGCAGCTGCGTGTTTAGCTCTTGGCTTGCTTTTGCTTTTGCTTTTGCTTTTAATTTAAGTTGATGTGGCAAAGTGCAAATAAAAGAAGCAGATTTATAAACAGCAGCTAGCTGTGAGTTTATTTTCACAGCTCTCAGTTTTGCTAAGTGAAATATCTGTGCACAATGAGACAAACAACACGCACACAGGCAAGCAAACACACTTGCAACACAGCAGAAGGATAAACCACCGAGCAGCAAGCGGGCGTCATATGTGACTGAAGCTTTGTCAAATTCAACCATTTGTGTTGCTAGACAATTCTATTTTCAGTGAATTTGCAGGCATTTCAAAAATAAAACAAACCCAAAAACGAAAAAAAAAGAAACATTAATATACTTGCATAGCTGTATTCGATACGGCAATACCCTGCATTGAACATTATACTTTCACTACTCACAAAATTGTCTCTGTTTATGTATATATTAATACAGTCGAGTCTCGATAATTCGTAATGGCAAGGGAATCGAACTTTTTACGAATTATAGAGGTTTTCGATTTACCGAGGTTTTCATTTAACGGGGTGTAAGAAATCCAAATACGTTTTTATATTTAACTTCATTTCAACAATTTTAACTTATTAAAAATAAATAAAATAAAATAAAATAAAATTTAATTCAAAACAAAATTAAACTTAAACAAAATCATATTAACGAAAAATTTATAAAGATTTAAAAAAGCTTGTAATTTTTACGAATCATCTGCACGCTTCAAATAAAGTGAGGAAACTAATGTAAATCCAATAGAGAGAACAACGAAATTTCGCACATGAAGCGACATAAAGGCGCCATGCGTAATAATCTGCGAGGTCTACATATTTAAGGCTGCAAGCATAGGGCGCGCTGAGACGAAGAGGAAGACAAAGCTGAAGACAAGACTAGTTGCATAGTGCAAAAAGAATTGGTTGTACAAACAGCAGCGGTTGAAGCTTGCGTTTCATTTTCATCTTCGTCTCAGCGCGCACTGTTTCATGCCTAACTGTAGTTTAACAGAAAAGTCAAGAATTACGAATCACAAGAAGTTACGAAACGAAATTACGAATTATAAGAGGTTTCGAAACGGTTCATAAGAAGCAAGATCATGGCCGAGTAGGCAGAAAAATTACGAATTAACGAGGGGACCAAATTAACGAAGTTTTTTCAAAGGACCAGCAGTTTCTTACGAATTATTGAGGTTTTCAATTTAGCGGGGTACGAATTATCGAGACTCGACTGTAGTAAATAATTGAGGCTCGGTTTGTGATATTTAAGAATAATGTATAACAAGTAAAGTCAACTAGCAAATAAAGTTAATAATTTTTAAAATTCAACACATGTTTAGAAGTAGCATTCTTAAATGTTTTCTAATTCCAAATTTGAATACATTTTTAACAATTTTAATATTGGCATTACAAAAGCCTAAGGAACTGAGAAAACAAGTTTACAATTCAATGCAAATATATTTACCTCTAAATGCATCCTAAATGCTGGGTATAAAATGTAGGAGCCGCAAATCCGCAGCTGGGACAAGCGTCTAGTAAATATTCTTAAATATTGCATTTGTCTAACTCCCAACATATGAATTTCTTAAGTTTATATTACACAATAATAATAATGTGAAATAGATAAAAAATATTGAGACTAAGCTGATAGCCAAAATATTAAAATACAAAATATTATATATTCGTTTTTGTATATTTACCTAAGCAACTAGCTACTAAGACTCGATATACCTTTAAACGCATCCTAAATGCAGGGCATGCGAAGGAGAAGCCACAACAATTTACACAACTGGGACAAGCTCTGGTATTAGGAGCTTTTTAGCCAAGTTGTGTTTAACTAAAATTGAAGTAAATTGCTGCTCATAAATTAGTTGTGGGCGGGCCACTGTCAAAATTTGTCCATGCCTTGATTTTCTCGTCGTTTATTTAATGAAGATGCGCCGCTAAACGAGAAGGATTTAAGGACCTCCCGCTTGCCCTAATCCTATTTCAAATGACTATGAGAAAAGAAAAAAAAAACTGAAAGAAATTATAATCGGTCAAGAAACTAAGTTTTGGCCGAAAGCGATTTACGCCATTTTATTGAAATGTCCGCAAAAATAGACCGAAACTATTATCGAAATAAGGGTTTAAAGATAATTAGCTTTAGCAACTTTTTATGCTCAAACTAACAGTTAAGTCCAGATCAAAGGTTAGAAATACAAAAACAGGAATCGGCCTCGAGGTAAAAAAAGGATACGGTGTTACATATGTTGTGCCTCGAATTCACAGAAAAATACAAAACAATTTATGGGGTATGCAAAGCAAGAGCAAATACGATTAGGTGCCCAGGGCAACATATTTTAAAACGACAACCAAGCAATTTAAAAAAAAAAAAAAAAAAAAAGGAGGGAAATATGCTGCATAAAGAAATACCCTGCAAATGAAATACGAAATATGGGAAAACTTAACGTGGTCGAAATACAGCTTCATTTTTAATGTGATTTTGATATCTTAGAGACCAACAAAATAACCATACCAACCAAATTATATATATAACCAAAATATATAAATATATTACATTATATACCTGTATAGCCTGTATAGAATGCTGAGATTTTTGATTGTCAAGCAACACTATATTCATTTCAATTGCAAGGGATCTAGAAATTACTCTGAAACCGGCTGATGTTTAATCACTTCGAATGACCTAGAATATTCAAACAGACTAAACAATATCTATGTAGAGCAACTTAGTTTGTTGTCTTGATCTAATTCATCCTGCTACTGTCGAATTTATCCACCAACTCATTGCATCCATATGAGCCAATATACCCTCTTTGCCTATTGTACAATGTATTCAGGGTACAGAAAGCCGGCCTAAGCTGCTGTCCTCCACAGAGTGAGAAACAGACGATACAGGAAACAGGCAGAAATAGATGCTGGGAGCTGCTTATATTATTTATGGCGTTCATTTTAATGCCAACTGTCAACGTGAAAGGCCGGAAAGCTGCTTATGCGACATTGCGCATACGCCGTGTGTGCCGCACTGAATTTGTTTGCCTGAGCCTTGTTATGCTTAATTTATCATAAAAATAAAGTGCACACGGCTCACGAGTCGCACTCGCATTCATGGCAGAAAGGCAGAAAGCAGGTGCCATATTCCAGAAGACAGCTCAAATTATTCTGCTTATAATAACCAAGTGTTTCAGCTGGGGATTCTGCCAACGAGCTGCACCAATATTACAAAAATAATAATTATAAATGTACCTTAGGGAACTGTGAAATTGAAGCCTCGCCAAAAATTCGAACTATGCCATAGAAGAGAGCTTTTACCATCACATTATATGTTATGTTTCAAGACTCTCAAATTGTGATATATGACATGTTATAATATCATCTGCTTCCTTACATTGAGCAAACATATAGTAGATATGTATATTCCCAGTAAGCTCTCATCTCTTGGCAAAATAAATGAAAATACAAAATAAATAAAAGCCAGGTAAGCATGTGAGAATTGTGTGTTTAAATTGTGTAATCTCGAAAATCAAAACTGAACAGCGGAAGAAATCAAAACCGAAAAATGTAAAAGTAAATAAAAAGCAAAGTAAATAAAGGCTAACGAACAAATTGAATTTTAGATTTGCCAACTGGGGAAATTATTTTTGGGGAAAATTATTTTTGGCACTTGGCATTAAGCGAACCTAACGAAAGCAAACAGAATGCGGCTAACTTATCCGCTTTAAACACATTGCCCCAAACTTAAGCTGGCGAATACTTACTCACTTACATATATTGTCTGGCACATTCAGCAGTTTGCTATTTTATTAGATTTTCGTGCCGTCGAGGAATTTTCATTTTAATTGCAGTCAAGCGATAATTTAAAATTCTCCCTCTGTTTGCCGTTGCTAGTTTTCTTGCCTTTTGAGCTTAATTAAATTTGAATACCCTGTAACAATTTCCATATAGATCTAGATAAGAAGATTATAACAGATATTTTTACTGTCAATGTCCTTTGACCAATTACTAGACCTGGAGCTGCTGTATGGCTAGAGATTTAAGTTTTTATGAGGACGTTATTTAAGCAAACTTAATATATAGAGTTATTACACATGTAAAAAATAAATGCAGCTTGTATTTACCACACTTTTACATAAAAAAAGACATTTCAGGGATGCAACAGAATCTTTTAAATTTCTCGTGTCAATCTTCATAATTTCAATCTTATATAATTTAAAACTGTATAGCCTTTCTATGACATTTTTGAACTGATGTAAAAAGAAACAAAAACCAGGATTCTAGTAAATTATCCCAAAAAGAGAGATATAGAGCGACTATTCCTCTCCACCCTCTCTCGCACTCTCTCTCTCTTACTCTCCCTCTCGCTCCCCCTCTTCTCTGTCTCCCTCTTCTCTCACCATATCATTTTTTGTCTCTGTATCTACATGTTGTAAGCATTCTAGTTCTCTATATCTCCGTGTTCCTCTATGAATATTTTTAAATCTAATTACATAGATTTCAACATCTTTTACATTTTAGTGTCGTGCACATGGAAAAGAAATTGCCGAATGGAATCAAATATTCGTATATATAAACTTTCTGGTAAGTTCAAATTAATGTTCATGTAGCAATTTAAAATGTGTACTTTTTAATGAAATAAATTAAATTTAAGCATACACCAAGCTCTGATTTGTTGATTAGAGCGCAGGAAATCTGTAGGTCGTGCATTTGCCACAAGTGAACTGTTATCTGTTTAACTTTTTACTCTGCTTCAATGTGGTTTCTCAAACAATGTAGCTGGAGATTCTTGGAATTATATAGAAAAGAGAAAAGTTGCAACCCTTTTGCGGAACTCTTTATCAGTTCGCAGGCCAAAAAGATATAAACTGAAGTCTCGACTCTGGTTTTTTGCAATTTCAAACACGCTTGTCAGTGGCAAATGCAATTTGAAAACTGTTTACCACAGCAAATACCAAGGAGTCGAAGTCCCTAGCTGAGTAATATAAACAGTTGCCAGGTTGTCGCAACTTTGACAGTTTTATTGATATTTTGTATAAAAAATAAAAAAGAAAAACAC